ATTATCAAGGCCCCTACATTAGGTGCAGGGCCCAAGAACACAGCAATTCGGTTCTTGGGTTTAGGGCAGTACAAGTTCTAATATAGCTTATCGGGGCATGCATACCAGTAGACCCGGAGGCTTGTGTCCTGCATAAAAGCCCCAAACCCAAGCCCTAAACCCCTAAATCTGAGTCTATGGCAGGACGTAGAGCTGGAAGGTTGGAGGCTTCAGCGGAGCCTCCAGAGGTCTTCGTAAGATCTGTGACGAGAAGCTTCAGCTCTTGCTGTAAGAATGACCTTAGATACCCCCTCACCCCCAAACCCCTAAACCCCTAAACCCTAAACACCCAAACCCTAAACCTTAACCCCCCCAAACCCGAAACCCTAAACCAAGCCGTAGATTTCGATGTGGGGTTTCCGCCTCTGCGCGGGAGGACCGGGGTTTCGGCTCGGAGGTGAACAACCTTGTCTCGGCGGCGATCGCCTGCGAGGTGGGGTTTAGGGAGGGCTTCTGGGTTCTGGCTGTTTCGGGTTAGCGTTTAGGGAATTTTGGGGCTTCTGGGTTCTGGCTGCTTCGGGTGTACAGCCGTTGATACGGTTTAAGGAAGTTTAGGGCTTCCGAGTTCGGTTTAGGGCTTCTTTGTTCTGGCTCCAAGGGGTCCAAACCTTTGCTTTGGCCAAAACCCTACTGAGGGTTTGGCCGTAGAAGGCTCCGCGTGAGTGATTAGGGTTTAGGATTCGGGGTCAGGGTTAAACCCTAAACCCTAAACCAAATGATTCAGGGTTTAAGGTTTAGGGCCCTGGGCTTTGCAAGTTTCACCCCAGAAGCCCAGAACCATGGCCCGGTGGTCCTCTGGAGTTGTTCTGTACTAGGGCTTCTGCTTGTTGACCCTCACCCCGACCCCAGAGAATATTTCTAAAGCCTCAACAACCCAAATCCCGAAGTTTTAAGAGTTTAGGGCTTAATTATAAGGATGCCCGGCAGCTTGCCCTTGTCTAAGCCAGTAATCAAGAGGCAGCGACAAGCCTGCACGAGCAGTGAACTTCAAAACGTCATACTGAGCCAGTAAATTCTTGATGCCAGGAGTTTGGCCTCCACTGCGTTGTCGAGGATGAAGTTTGGAATTCCGGCCGCCTGCACACCTATCTCCAGGTTTCGCCTGATCTGCAGCTGTTACCTTCAAGAGTAAGGGTTTTTCCGGCCCGAAGCCCACGCTCCAAACGCTAAACCCTAACCAAGACCCAAACCCGTAGCCTTGAGCCCGAAAGCTCGTCGGGTTTAAGGCTTTAAGGCCTCAGTCGCTTGGGACTGAGTACGGTATGTTCAGTAGGCCACGCAAGTCTCTTGGCTCCATTAGGTCGGAATTTTGACGGGTTCAAAGATCGTACAGGAATGTGCAGAGTTGAGCATGGTTTGAAGCTCGGACAAACTACATCGTTACGGACATGTATTTTCAAAAGGTGGATCTTAACAGACTAGCGTCATTGACGCGAGTCTTTCCTGTAGGTTGAACCTTTGAACCCTGCTGCAGATATTTCAGAGCATGAAGAAAATCTTGCTGCAAGTAATCCTGGTTCTGGCGAGTTCTGGCGCTTGACTCCCGAAATAGAAATTCCAGCATCGGGCTCGAATCGTGCTTACTACATCGGTGTCTCAGTGTTCATTCCCCTCAGGGCCCACGCCAACAGGCTTCACAATGTCTACTTGATCGTACGTGTTTACAATTTACAACATCCCAACGTGCCTCATCACAATCGCACGAGCCACAATATTGAGGCAATATTGAAATGAACACGCCGGCTCGTACATAGATGAAACAAGGGGCTTTTACAGCTCTAAGATGTTCCTCGGAGTGGGTGAGCTAACTACTGCAGAAAGCCTCCAGAACCTCTCAAGACTGTCAAAAGAATCTGTTTCAATCAGCACGCAGTCTGCATGGAGCCATCAAGCAACCATCAACTTTACACGCGGCAGGCGGAGCCACTGATTCTCCGCCGGTGCCCTGACGAGGGTACCAGCCGCCACCGTCCTTTGGAGGTCTCTCGGGGACCTAGGGGTTTCAAGTTGTGGATGTACCCATGCATCTACATAGACAAGGACCCGTCTCAGGGGCGTTTCGGAGACTGTTGTGTTGCGTAGTGATGCTGCGAAAATGCCAGGAGCTAGAATTTGGGTTGTGGAGATTGGGCTGGGAGGTGTAGTATGCACCTGTAGTATCTTAGAGAAGACAATCAGGTAAGACTAGCCTTGGTCTTCCTATTCCACAAACCCATATATTCTGAGTCAGTTTAGTCTGCAGTAGCTTGAAGCCTCGACCCCTGTACCCTGAAGACCCACCCAAACCCGGACCAAACAGCCTACAAGGCCCAGTAGCACTTTGCTTCAGGAGACAGAGCCGGCGCATCGGTTAAGTTTACATGGTTGCAACCCTTGGTCCCATTTCCGAGCCCTCATCGGTTCAGGGTTTCGGGGGTGTAGGGCTGTAGGGCTGTAGGGCTTTAGAGTTTAGAGTTTTAGGGGGTTTTAGGGCCGTAGGGCTTTAGGGTTTAGGGTTCACGGTTTAGGGCATCATGTAACTTTGTCGGAGGGGCTGGGAACCTTGGATGTTGTCCGGGCTCTTGAACCTTGACAAGTCCTACACCATTCCTGGCCCGTCCAAACCCTCGTTTCTTCTCGTTAGCTCTTACCTCTTTTTGGGTAGTTCTCTAAATTAGGGTCCCTTTTTAGGTCCCCAATATAATACGGCACCATTATGAAAAGGACCTTAAAAGGGACCCTAATTTAGAGAACTGCCCACATCCCAAATCGCTCACCCCGCCCATCAAAATAAGTACGCAACTCCACCTTCCCAAAAGCCTTCTGGGACAACCCGGCTCGGAGAGGTCCGCCGCGACCGCCGTGTCGCCACTCCAGGCCCACGGGATTTTTGACCTGCTGGGCGTATTGCGAACTGAGACTGAGACAAGGGACTACATTTTCAAGCCTTTCCCCCGGGAGGCCTGAAAACCTGGATCCTTAAGACGAATCAACAAAATAAGTGTATGTGTATATATACATATATATATATATATATATGTATAATCATTATGTGTATATATATATATGTATATATGTATGCCCTAAGCCCTCCAGTTCTAAAGCCAAGAATAGCACAGCCCGAAACCCTGAGATCGGCACTGTCGGGCCAGTGTTGCATTTCAAGGTTCCGCCTAGGCTTCCAGGGTTTAGGGTTTAGGTTTCTAGGCTTCGAAGCACATCCTCGCCTTCAGCCAGTTGCACATCCAAGGATGCCAACTTCATACGCGTGCATCCCGAAGTGCCACGCTTGGGGTCTGGGTTCTACGCGTGTATCAGAGTTTAGCCCTTTGCAAGGTTTCGGACAACATTAAGGTACCACATGTTATACTAATAATCCTACCCCCCCGGACCCCTAAACTATGCCTTGAACCCCAAACTGTGTACCAAACGAACCAGGACCCTTGAACACATTGGTATGTATAAGTTCCGAAGGGCTGCACAATTGGTTCGATGGATCAAAGAGGCAGAGCTCTGGTGGGAAGATAACGGTCCCCAGGAATGGGCGTTATACCAAGCATGGAATGGCCAAACATCATTAAAACCATCCCAGCAACATGTCGGGACGTGGCGCATGGATGATGTTCTGGTTTACGACCATTGTGAGTGGCAGCTGTTTGTTGGCAGTCTTGTTTGTCCAATGACGCTTTGGAACCTACCGGTAATGCCTGACTGTTCTGCAGGTTGGTTTGCCGTCTGCAAACACGCCAAGGGTGTCTCTTTCGCCAAAAAGTGCCTTGACAAATGAGTTCGGCAGGGTACTGAACTTCAGGCTTGGGCATCATTGGAGCCAGCCCTATGCAGCCGAGCCATCGCAGCTCCTTTTCGAGGAGCACAGGGCAACCCTGCAGCGCCAGCACCAAGTGGCACTTAAGCCTACCTACTCTATAGGGGCAAAATAAGTTGTATTCGCATCCCGAAACAATCGTATTACAATAATAGTCAATTCCCATTCAAGGTCCAAGTTCATGCGGCGAGTTTGGCGCTACACGACCGAGACCCGGAAGCGGATTGACAGGCCTCACGTGCCATGCTGGACGAGTTGTGTACACAGAATAGAACAGGGTTCTATCTCTTGTTATTTTTTGAATTGGGGTTCCTCGCGGATTGTACAGAAATCGATGATTGTGAAGTTAATAATTGGAGAAGGGTCTTATTGTGTGGTATAAGAGCTCATTGTGCTTATAAGGGCTCTCCGGGGCTTTTATGACAGGGCCGTAAGGATTAAAATTTGCATGGCATATAGCGAGAATTGGGCTAGAGGAGCAACAGGTTGTTGAGTCTTCAGGCAAGCATGTTCTCTCCTGTTTTGGTTTTGAATTCTGGGGTTGTGGGCTGCTTGCTTATCAAATTTACGTTGTTGAGTTTAGGTGCTCCTCTTCAGCAGCGACAACAACGACAGATTCGGCAAAGGTGTAGCTATTGCTAGTTGTTGCAGTAGTCATCCTAACGGTGGCTCTTCTGTCAACAGTAACCCTTTACATGTCCTCCTCAGTAAGCCCTACCTGGACTCTCAGGGGCCCACGTTTTTAGGGTTCCATATCATGGTTTCACTAGACAAGTACTTAAACGAATGTAGGTTCTTTAGTGCCCTGGCAAGTCTTGCCGCCAGGTTGAACGAAGAGCTGCGGTTGCCCCCGAAGTACATCGCGCTACAGGTTCGCCGGGGCGATAAGGTGGCAGGAAACCGCAAGGACCGGGCGCTTCCTTCAGGGCGAGTTAACCAAAGGCTATACGTCTCGCAAGAGTAGACCGCTAAGCCCTATAAACCCTAAAGTAGTATATATATATATACACGCGGTAAACCCTCAAGTATAAAGCATAGATAGATAGATAGATAGATAGATAGATAGATAGATAGATATACTAATATATGTATGTGTATATATATATATATGCCCTTATAAAGTATAGATATTATATCTACATTGGTACTTGAACCCTTTGGGTTAGAGTCGAGGCTCGACAACAAGAGAAAGGAGGGTTTAAGGAGTTCAGGCTTTGTGTAGGGTGTATAGGGATGAGGTTTGGATTCAGGGTTTAGGGTATGGAGATGAGGATTTGAGTTCAGGGTTTAGGGTATAGGGATGAGGATTTGCGAGGGCCTTTCGACTTCAGGGATGTACGGTGGCTAGGATTTGGAACTTCGGCTTCTTCGGGTTTGTACCCTAAACCCTAAACCCCTAAACCCCTAAACTCCTAAACCCCTAACTAAACCCCTAAACCCCTAAACTCCTAAACCCTAAACCATAAATCCCTAAACTAAACCCTAAGCCCTAAACCCCTAAACCCTAAACCCTAAAACCCTAAACTAAACCCTAAACTCCTAAACCCTAAACCCTAAAATCCTCATGCTCCCGAGTCGAGCCTGGCACAGATATGACGCTGGAACGTTAGGTGCTGAATCCTCAACCGCAAAGCCGATAGGGTTTAGGGTTTAGGGTTTAGGGCTGACCGAACTACCGAAATGGGGGTTTCAGAAAATAGGGGACCCTAATTTAGTACCCTAAATAGTAGGATCCTTACTATACGGACCCCCAAATAGGATACCCTAATTTTCGGAAACTCCCACATGGCTGCGACGTTTGGCGTCGAGGCTTGAGGGTAGTCAGGGAAGATCCTAGGGGTTACCCATAGGCCCCATAGTGGTTCCTTTTTGGGGTTCATATTTAGAATCCTATAAGGTAATCCCCAAAGGGATCTACTATGGGGCCCATGGGTAAGGTTTTTTTAGGGTCTGATTTGGGGGTGTCCGAAGTTTTCTGCGGTTCAGGGATCAGCGCCGTGTCTTCGAGGAGAGCGTGCAGATCACGGGCATGGACTTCGCCAGGGAGGCGCAGAAACACCTCTCTTCAAGCTGTTCTGTTGTGGTCGTTTGCAGCTCGGCCTGTCTCTTGATGTGGGGCTCGGACAACCTCTGTAACACCCTGAACCCCATACAAACCTCAACTCCTATTATAAACCCCAAACCCTCAACTTATTATTGCGGGCACCATGTTTCTTTCACGGATTGGGCCCATGTCAGGGCCCATTATTTCTCAGAAACCCCCCAGTCCTATGAACCCCTTCCCCATTGAAAGAAATACGATAAGGGTTAAGGATTCAGGAGACCTGAAACTTACTCCCCAAGCCGTATCCCGTCGACCCGAAATTCCTAGACTGGAGCTCCCTAACCCCCAAACTTCCCCAAAATACCCTAAACCCTACACCCTAAACCGTCAAACCTTCGAAGCCCAGCTGAAAAATCTCAAAGCCCTTCGGGAGAGCTTGCTGCTGGACCCCTAGGCACCGACGACCTCACTGCCGCAGAGGCCCGGTGGTTCGCAGTGCTGTGTTTTTTTTATTTAGGGGTCGTCTAAATACTTACTAAACCTATTTTGGGGTTCCCTTATTATAACTACAGTATAAGATACCCCAAAACCCTATTCTAGTTCATTAAGGCCCCTAACTTAGGGATTCTTAGCCAGGGCTGCTGGGGGTTAAGAGCCTTTGGGGTTTAGGGCTCAGGGCCCTGAGGCTCAGTGTTTTGGGCCTTACGGTTCAGGGATTCCTGTGACGTCTCAGTCGCGGGGTCTTTTTAGGGTTTTAGGTTTTCGGAGTTTAGGGTTTAGGGTTTCGGGGTTTAGGGTTTCGGGGTTTCGGGGTTTAGGGTTTAGGGGTTTGGGTTAAGGGTCTCAAAACAGGCTCCACAGCTGTACGCCGGGACATCACTGTATCGGGCATGCCACGGGGCCCCACCACAGTACATGGAAGGCAGCGGTCGAAAGGTGTAGATAATCATGGGTGTTGCGGTTCGGTTCGGTGCGGTTTGGGTTTACTGCGGTTTACCTCATTTACCGTTCGGTGCGGTGCGGTNNGGTTTACCACGCTTTTCCCGCCCACCCACCATCCAGCAATCTCCATCCACCCTCCAATCCAGCCCTCCAGCACTTACCTGCCTCTAGCCAAGCCCGCCTCCCTCCATCCGTCCACCCTCCACTCAGTCAGGCCTGCCTCCACCTCCATCCACCTCGCTCCATGCCAACCCCCCTCTCCTCCCACCCTCCATCCACTCCCACCATGCATCCAGCCACCTCCATTCAACTCCAACTCAGCAAGCCCCCCATCTCCAGCCCTCCAACACCTACCTGCCTCTAGCCATCCACCCCCCATCCAGCTCCTCCATCCACCCTCCAACATGCGATGAAGAGTTGCCGAAACTGGCTGCACATCCACACGATTCTCCATCCCAGAGTGCTGCATGGAATGGAGTCTGCCAGTTCGACAAATGCGCCTGTTGTGCTATGACACCGCCTTGGCTCAAACAAAGACCAGCAATTTGACATCCGACCCTTGTTTTCGGGGCCGGGCTGAGCGGCAACAGCTGCTGCTGCTTTTGTTGCTATACGGCGTAAGTGGTAAGCACCAGAGCATGTCAGGCGAACTCCGTTGTCGGCGGCTTGGTTCTGGGAGCCCTTGCGCAGCCTTTGCGTGACTTGCTTTGATTTGTTCCTGCGGCCCGAAACAGTGCCTCCAGATCCAGCCACCATAGCCGTAACACATACTTTCACAGCCGCGCTACTCTGCACATGACATGGCAGCTTCAACACACCCTAGCAGCCCTAGCATCCTTCGGCGAAGTTGCCAACATGCCGCCAATGCCATGGCCGAGAGTTTCGACCCATGCGTTGGGCGGCCCGTGTTTCGTGAAAGAGCTGATGGAAAAGACTCTAAAGACATGCGCAGTCAATGAGAGTGAGTGGCGAGTGTCGTGTGCCCTGCGCCCACACAGGTCTGATCAGGCAGGTTTCACCTCCATATTTCGACGTCGCGGCGGCTCGGTGCTTGTGTATCGCGCAGCGCCGTGCATGCAGGACTTGGATGCAATGGAGGGTCTTCTTGTGAGGGGAGGCGCTTGGATGGAGCGGGGGGGTGGATGGGGGGTGCCCCGCTGGGTGGAGGGTGTTGTCGTGAGGGGAGGGGATTGGGCTGGCTGGATGGGAGGATCTTCTTGGGATGGAGGGGGGCGTTGGAGGGCTGGAGGGTCTTCTTGTGAGGGGAGGCGCTTGGATAGAGCTTGGATGGTTGGATGGAGGGTGCCTGGCTGGATGAGGGTCTTTCCGTTAAAGCGAGCGGGAACGGCGCTCGTGTGTCGGAGCCTCTTCGGAGGACAATGCACATAGACCTGCCCTGTGATCTTGGGAACATGGTGAGCCATTGCGACATAGAGGCGGTTAGTCCGCAAGGACGCGCACACTTTACCAGATATCCGGGATGAAATATTCTCCAAGAACATTTTTGCAACCTACTGAATGGTAGCTGTGGGACTACTTTTAACACAGCTCCTTAAGCACCGAAGTGACGTCCTCATTATGGCGCTTGGATGGAGCTTGGATGGAGGGGGGGGTTGGATGGAGGGTGTGAGGGGAGGCGCTTGGATGCAGGTTGGATGGAGGGGCGGGGCGTTGGATGGAGGGTGCCGGCTGGATGGAGGACAAGAAGGGAGGCGCTTGGATGGAGCTTGCATGGGGTGGAAGGAGGGTGCCTGGCTGGAGGGTATTGTTGTGGGGAGGCGCTTGGATGGAGCTTGGATGATGGAGGCAGGGCGGGGGGTTGGATTGTTGGATGGGGTGCCTGCCCTGGGTGGGGGGGGGTCTTGACGGAGGGCCCTCTTGTAGGGAGGGTGTTGGATGGAGGGAGGGGTTGGATGGAAGGTGTCTGGCTGGATGGTGTCTTTTTGGAGGGCAGATGGAGGGGGGTTGGTTGGAGGTGCCTGGGTCTTCTTGAATGAAGGACAGGCACGGATGAAGGGGGTGTGTTGGATGGACAGTGTAGGGGGTTGGATGCAGGGTGCCTGGCTGGATGGAGGTTGGATGGAGTGGAGAGGGGCTGGGGTCGAGGGAGGGGATGGAGGGAGGGCTGATGAGGGGATGGAGGGATTTCGGCTTCGGTCGGTACGGTGCGATGCTTGGGTTTTAGTACGGCTCGGTTCGGTTCGGTATCGGTTCGATGCGGTAGGCGGTAAAAGTATTGTTGAAACGCCCATGATAATTTTCAATTTTCCTCACTGCAATACTTAGTCATACTATTCCTGAATTTTCCTTGGGTTCTTCCGTATCATTATGTCATGGTTTAACAGAACAGTCCCTTCGCCTGAAGCTCCAATCCTGAACCGCCACCCCCAAGACCCCAAAACCAGAAACCCCAGGCCCCACAGCCTCGATTGCGTAGGGCTTGCCGTAAAATGTCATGGCCTGCTCTTTTGCAGGTTCTTACGGAAAAAACCCGAATATTACGAATCTAGAGTGACCTACCGAAAAGTAATTTCTGGTGCGCTAGGGCAGAGTGATAGACCCTCCCGTAAGTCCTATATGTCTGAACATGACCCCAGCACGGCTTCAGCAGGAAGTGGGCCGTGCCCTGCGTTCGCTCGGCTCTCCCGCAGAGGTCATGCAAGGGATGCAGTAACATTCAGGCCTTCTTTGCTTCGGCGCTCAGGGTTGTAAGATCGAGCTTTAAGATACGAGCTTTTCACGCCTTGTGGGTCACCCATACTGACATAGAATGACTTGTCGTAGTACGTATTATAGTAACTAACTTTTGTTATTATCATTATTGGTATGCATGTTGTAGTAATAAACTCTTATTGTTATCATGGTTGTTATAGTAGCCCTTGATATATAGTGACCTGAAGCCCCAAGCCTAGAATTCTTACCAGGTCCGCTGGCGTTCCCGCGCCGAAGTCCCCGCAAATCTGCGCAACGGCCACTGGCAGGCCCTCCGAAACCGCGAAACACAAGAGAACCGGTGGATCCCTTAGACTATAAAACTTTAAACTCTAAACCCTAAAACCCTAAATAAACCCTAAACCCAGACTATAGATGCCCTCTAAGAGTGTACCCCCAAGACTAGAGCCCTCAAGAGGGTTGCGCACCGTCAGTGTCGACATGGAGGGGGTTGGTACTGGTTTGGGATGTATTGTAGCCTCTGCAGGGCTTACATTTCGCGGCTTCTCAGCGCAAGCCTCTTCTTGTTGGGGCCAGTATTGAGTTTAAGTTTTGCTGGGCTTGAAGGTCCCATGAACCTCGAAGTGCTACGGCGATGGAAGGGCCTTATACTGCCGTATTGGAGAGCTTTGCGGGTATGTAAAGCTTGAAGGCTGAAGAGAAGTGAAGCTAAACCTCAATCCCGAAAGCCCCAGTCGCAACGGTTGTGTTTGGGACGCCTCGTGACAGCCGCGACCAGCACATAGGGCGGGCCTTGAGGCGCGCTTCAGGATGATGGCTTAGAATATAACAAGGGGGATGCTGTAAGGAATAGTGGTATGTAGTCTACTATGATCTAGGTGGAAGGCTTTTGGTTTCTAGAAATGAGTACTCTAAACTCCAAACCCTACAAGCCCTATACCCTAACCCTCCAGGTACCTACTATATAGGGTCCTAGGGGCTCTATTGCCCTATATAGTAGGTACCTGGAGGGTTATAGGGAATAGACCCTAACCGTTGCGCTAGGCAAGCTACAACTCCCTGACAGCGAAGCAGCGGATTGAGATGACTCACGAGCTGCCTGGCAATGGCCTACGGTTTGGGCTCTGCATGTTTAGGGGGTTAGGGGTTTAGGGGTTCAGGGGTTTAGGGGTTTAGGGGTTTAGGGTTTAGGGTTTGTGGGTTTTAGGGTTTTTGAAGTTTTTACGTGCTTTGACCTCGGAATCGTATGATTTGTTTCAAGAATGGAAGTAAGGATGCGCATGCAACCGCAGAAATGTCAATGTCTGCGAATCGTCGCAACCTTGAAGATTAAAGCTATCTTGATAGCAAAACGGAGAATTCACACCGATGCATGGCCCGTGGGGTTTTCCCAGTTAATTTCAGTGTTTGTTGTGTCCTTGCAACAGCAGATAGGATTTCTCCAGCGCTTACAGAGATTTAGTTCTGATGTGGCAACTGGGTTCCGGCTTTAAAGTTAGGGCTTCAGGCATAGTTAGATGTTATGGGGTTGCGGTTTTGGACTCCTGGACAGTTTGCATCGAGGCTTACGGTTTAGCTTTCAGCCAGTTGCAGGTCGAGGCTTCGGGGGTACCCCTCCCC